GAAAGAAAAAGAACAAAAGAACGAATGAACGAACAAACTCAGGCCCCGATGTATTCTATAGTATTTCAGAAAGAAAAAATACCTATCCTAAACTCTTCCAAATAAAAGACTTTTTAACGAAGTTTATGAGCCAGAACAATGAAGAGAGGAATTTATTGGCCTATCTAACTCGTACACTGAAACACAAACAAACCTAAGTAAAATATTACTAAAGTAAATCTACAAATACATAAAGTTTTATAATACATCACCAACTATATGGGTTTATTCCAGGAATACAAAGGTGATATAACATTGGGAGAGGGAGATTGAATACAATTCCAATATAACAAAATAAAGCATATAAACATCATATACTTATTTCAGTAGAGAACAGGCATTTAATAAAATTCAACACCTAGACATTCAAATGTTCTCCTAGCTGAGCTAGACATAGCACAACTTAGGAGGCTGAGGTAGAAGGACTGCTATGGGTTCAAGGCCAGCCTGGACTATATAGGAAGTTCAAGGCCATCCTAAAATAAACTACATAGCAAGACACTGTCTCCAAGTCTTCCTAGCTTAAATACAAAGGCAGATTTTATTTTTGAAACAAGATTTCACTACTTAGTCCAGACTGGTCTTGAACTCTTTCAGTTGTCTCCACTGCCCCTTGACATCTTAAGTGCTGAGTCATGCAAGCCACAGTTGAAAATATATATAAGCCAAGTGTTCAACACTGAATATTAGGAGGCTGGGGAGATAGCTCAATGATCTAATCACCTGCCTGGCAAATGCAAGGGCCCAGGTTCAATCCCCAGTACCGCATGCTATGCCGTGCCAGAAGTAATGAGTCCTTGTACCAAACACATAAATAAAACTGAATGATTCTTTTTAAAAAAGATAGTATTAATAGTGAAATTTATATTTTTAAAAGAGCATCAAAAAGTTAAGCCTTAGAACAGACAATGTTCAACACCACTACACAGGTCTAAAATTACAGAATGCAAAATAAATAGAAGAGCCAGGCCTAGTGCTGCAGACATGTCAAAATTCCTCTAATGTAACCTATTTGAAGAGAAGAGAGATTTGAAAGCTTAATTCTCAAAATCTTAACAAAAATACAAGGTAAAGAAATCACATGTACTAAACTTCTCAAGATTCTATGTAATCAGATCAAAGGAGAAAAATTTACTCTATTTGAGCACGAGTTTTATAAAGTTGTCATAATTAAAAGACCCTCATGAGCTAGGAAACATGACAATGTTAAGCCATGCAGTTATATGTAAAAGTTGAGCAAGGCAATGATCCGGAGAATATTCAAAAGATTCTTTAATCTAGGAGTTAATTGGAATGATTCTCACCCTGACTAACTATATATACTGATATCTGTGAACTAAGCTACTGCACTGCAGATGGTAATTTGTAATAG